CAGCATGGCTGAGGTTATGGGGCAAGTGATGTTGCTTTTCCACAATTTCAGCCTTTGCATGTTGACGGAAGCAATGTAGCTCAATGTAGACAGTGCAGGACGTATGACTACCTGCCCTGTCGTCAAATGGTCAAAGACACTTTCTGTCTTAGCTCATTAAAATGAGCTACTACACCAGGGAACTGGAAAGGTAACGAATGATGTACCATCTTTAAGGAAGTTGTTGGGGTGATCCTAGGAATTACAGGTCAGTGACACTGATGTGAGTATTAAGTAAATAAGTTGAAATGATAATTAAAAATACAATTATAAAACATCTAAATTAACATAATATTATAGGTAGAGCAGTGCAAATATCTGATTTTTCAATTTGCTGGCAATTCTGAAAAAACTTATTTTGGGTTGACCCCAAAATGAAATTTTTAGAAATGTTCAGGGAATTGAAAAGTAGAAAAAAACATGTTTTGGGCCCAAAAAATTTTGTTTAGATTTTGAGGATTTAAAAATGATTTTTAAAATATTTTTAGAGATAAAATGTTCTGACTTTAAACAAAATATATTGAGTCTTTTGGGCTGAAACAGACATGAATGCACAAAATGTTTTGGTATTGCCGATTCTGCATTTCTGCCAAAAAAAAAAAAAATTACAGCTGAAACATTTCACCCAGCTATTATGATAGGGCCAAACCAGCAGGGCTTGTGTGATAAAATTCATGGTTTTCTAACCTATTTGAATTATTTGAGCATCTCAGGAAAGTAATGGATAAAGGAGAATAGGTTGACATTAGATTTTCAAAAAGCCACTGACAAAGTCCCCGATAAGAGGTTATTAAGGACACTAAGTAAGTATAGGGTGGTGAAAAGTGAAGTACTGTCATGGATTAGATACAGACACGGGAAAAGGTTAATACTGGAATGCGACAAGGTTCCACTTTGTTATGTATGATGAAAACAGCATATCCTCCCCAACATTACACTAGTTATTCTGTGAATATGGAATTAATTTTCTGAAAATGTAGATGTTAATCTGTTAATTTTGTTTATGATTAAGAAAAAATAGGTCCTTAGAGATCCTTTAAGAAATGTAGCACGCTATATCAGACCTCTTGTTTGCTACTGAATGCTCTGAGTAACAAAATAATAGACTTTTTAAACTTCCCACAATCTTGAGCAAAAACCACACGTGAGAACTTTTTAAAAAAAAGGTTGATGGTTATATTTTGCTGCTATCATCCAGAAATGAAAGTTTCTCCTTCAGCAGAAGCTGAAGGAAAATGTTCTACTTCAGAGAGCTCCATGAAGAACTGCCCAATCCCCAAACAGCCACTATCCCCTGTTATTCTTAATGGGATTGAAGCCACAGGCTTCCTTTGGCAAAGATGGCTGCTGCTTCTAGTCAATTGCTCGACACAGTGCTTGTCGCCACCTTCTGACAGCATATGTGGCTATCATCATTATTATATTTTCCATATTATTCTCCATCCCATTCCTTAAGTCCGCTAGCATTTTGTTTGCCTTTTAGATTGCAATTAAATGTTGAACAGAGACTAGAGCTTCATTGAGCTCTACACAGTAATGCCCAGGTCCTATTCCTGAGCCATTATAGTTAATTTAAACTTGTAAGATGTGTAAGTAGTGTGACGATATCTCCCATAAGACTTTATGGAAATATACTTAGAATGTGTTTTATGCTACATATGCCATGTAACATATCTCCGTAAAGGTTATGATCTACTAAATGTATTAATCCTATTTGTATGCATGTATCATTTTTGTATTCGAAGTTATGAATGTTATGAATGTTGGCTGTGTACTGGCTTGATTTCTAAATAACTTAGTAGAGCATTTGGTCAGTTCCTGGAGAAAGGAATGTTGAAGTTAAGTACCTAATCAAGAAACACTTAAAGGACAATGGATCTTGGAATGCTCCAATCCACATAAGAAGTCTACTTGAGGACGTTCAAGGTAGCATGTAAACAATGGATGCTACCTGTAAAAACTGTGAGTCATGCATGGACATGTGACTTGCCCAGATGACTCCTAAACTCCATCTTGGAGATGGACTTTGCATAGGAGTGAGGAGCGGGGTCTCCACCCACAAGAGAAAGTCTATTTAAACCCCTGGGAGACCCTTCCATTTTGTCTTCAGCTGGCTCAAGAGATAGCCTCTCCACCCCCCCCAGGATACTTGAAAGAAACTGGAACAAAGGATAGTGTGCAAGGGGTGTGAGTGATTGCTGGACGCAGGCTAAAAGGAGATTAATCTGTAAAAGGGAGCATTCTGGAACTGGTGAGGATCTTATCTGTATTCAGTTTGATTAGACATAGATTTGCACACTTTATTTTATTTTGCTTGGTGACTTACTTTGTTCTGTCTGTTACTACTTGGAACCACTTAAATCCTATTTCTGTATTTAATAAAATCACTTTTTACTTATTAATTAACTCAGAGTATGTATTAATACCTGGGGGAGAAAACAGCTGTGCATATCTCTCTATCAGTGTTATAGAGGGTGAACAATTTATGAGTTTACCCTGCATAAGCTTTATACAGGGTAAAACGGATTTATTTGGGTTTAGACCCCATTGGGAGTTGGGCATCTGAGTGTTAAAGACAGGAACACTTCTGTGAGCTGCTTTCAGCTAAACCTGCAGCTTTGGGGCAAGCAATTCAGACCCTGGGTCTTTGTTGGAGCAGACGGGAGTGTCTGGCTCAAGACAGGGTGCTGGGGCCCCGAGCTGGCAGGGAAGGCAGGGGTAGAAGTAGTCTTGGCACATCAGGTGGCAGCTCCCAGGGGGTTTCAGTGATCCAACCCGTCACAAGTAGTTCAATATTTCTCCTCCAATGTGCATTACCTTGCCATTTATCAACACTGAATTTCATCTGCCATTGTGTTGCCTATCATGTAGCTTCATTGGATCACTTTGAAGTTCCAATATCTCTCGACTTGAGTAACCTAAGTTTGTGTCATTATCTGCAAATGTTGCTAGCTCACTGCTCACCTTTTTTCTAGAGACCACTAATGAATATATATATTAAATAACACCAGTCTTAGTACAAAACCTTGCAACACCCCATCTGCTCACCTTTTGACATGCAGAAAATTGAAATTGAAAATTTGCTCCTACTATTTATTTTTTACCTCTTAGCCAGCATTCCAAAACAATTCCAATGACTACAAGTATTTCTTGTTTTGACTTTAAGTTTTGTGAGTTCCACCCTCCCCCCACAAAAATAACAACACTTTAAAAGCTTTAATTGTTGTTCTCCTCTATTTGTAATTAAACTTTCCATACTTTGCTTGGCTCATAAGTTTAAGGGGATTTTTTTTAAAAGGCAGCTTCTTGCACCAGCTCTTGGAAAAACTAATAAAAACTAATAAACCACCTTCACAGTGAATTTCTAGTGAATCATTAAGCAGAGATTTGTTGCCTTGGATACTGAGCCAGGTAGATATCCTAGTTTTAAAAAAACACCAAACAATTTGACCTGTGAGCTCCGGAGGCAGGAAAAGCAAAGTTTCCCTGTGATAATGGCTAAAGTTTCTAGCATCAAAGAGTAAAAAATAAAAAAGACTGAAATTGTGGCTACGTAGCTTGTTTTTCATCCTACTATAAAAGGTAAGAAATGATTAATTGAATAAATGGAAGTCAGCATAAAATAAGACTTTAACAATGAAATAAATTATAAATAATTGTGACAATTCCTGTACAGAAATGCTAGATGTGCCAGCCATTATGGGGATATATGGGTGATAGATACAATGCTATCCCTTGACAGATAAGTGGCTCTACTATGGAAGTGAAGGTATTACTCTGCCAACTCGATAAGAGGGGTTCCTTTTGTTTTTTGGTGTTGTGTTTTACAGGAACATAGCTTTTCAGACCATCAGGGCTATAAAATATTAAGCACAGCATATGCACTGCTTTAAAGGAAGATACAAGGGGACACATGTCAATGAAAAGATAAGATATTTCCAGGACACCATACTAGGAAACACTGAAATGAGAGTCAAATCCTGGAGTCAATCACAGGTTTGCCATTACCTACCATGGGATCAATGTTAGGAGCTTTTGAGGATCTGGACCTTTGCTGTTAGTGAAACATATGAGGATAAGGGAGGGCAAAAATTTGTGGAGCTAGATGTACTGGTGGATTATTTATTTATTTATTTATTTTACTTCTGGGACAAAGCAAAGATTTTGAGTGAATGGGATTGGTGGTCTCTGCTAAACCCCCCAGGCTACAGGAGTAAAATCACCATAGATAATTTTGCACTATGGACACTCTCTGATCAAGTGAGAACCATAAATTAGCTAGTACTAAATTTAATTTTCTCACATCCAGGTCACTGAAGTTCACACTACATTCTTCTGAATTTTTAGAAAGGACTTCAGTTTCCATTTCAAATGTTACCTTGAACATTTGATAATTATTGAAACTTGATAATTAGAGAAACAAATACGTTACATCATTCTATAACACTTGAGACTACCCAAACATGCAAATAGAAAGTTAGCTGCAGCTGTTTAAAATGCTCCTCCTGTTACATTATTAAGTACAAGGTTCATGATGCTCTCATCTCTGTTCGATTTTTGCCTCTGTTCATGAGTGCTGTGCTTGAATTTGTTGTATCCATGAAACTTTGCATGAGACATGGGATGTAAACTCTGTTACTCTATCTCAGAATATTCTGTGGCAGATGTTCACTGGTTCATATTGAGATAGAACCACATTTATTGGGCAACAGAGGGTCCTGTGGCACCTTTAAGACTAACAGAAGTATTGGGAGCATAAGTTTTCGTGGGTAAGAACCTC